ATGTTAAAACCCTGATAGTGATTAAATTAGTCTATATTTATGAATGTACAGTACGACCCACGATGTACACCATTATTTTGTGGAATATGAACTAATTAGGTAATCTAAAAAAATTTTAAATAAAAATTATACACTAGTAGGTACACTAATTTTGAAAATATGGTATTATAAAAATTTTATTTCATATACATCAGATTATTTGCAAAAAGAAAGATATTTCTTCGGATAAATAGCAACGCGTCTAATAAAAAAAAAATACGGAAAAAACTAAATTTTTATGAAAACGCAAAAATAATTTTCGATTGTAAATGACTGAATTTGCCTTAGAAATAATAAAATTTAATAGGTAACTTGTAATAATCTCAATTTTGACATGTTTCTTCAAAAATTATTTCAAGTTTCCTAAATATTACACTTAAATTTGTAATATCAACTAAAATACCTAGTCAATTTATTTCTGTTTGGATTTTATTTTTATAAGTTCGGTTCCAAAAAAGGAGCTACTGGGATAAATCGTAAATATCGCTGTAATATTTAGGAAAATTTTCGTTTTTCATTTTCCCCGGATGGCTGAGTATACAAATTTTCTCAAATCAGCTTTTCAAAATTCTGTAAAACGTAGTTAATGAATAAAGTTGTATATCTGTCTTATAAATAATGTAAATTTTATCGTTTATTGTGCAGAGGTATACTTGCTGCAACAAGTTATTGTACAGTAATAAAATGAGAATACTGAGCATTCTAAAAAATGGGTTATTTTATTATATCATTGAAATTCTCGGTTAATTTAAAGGTAGGTATTCTAACCCGAATACTCCACCGTTTAGAAAATAGACAACCCTTTTTAATTTTTCTTTAAAAAATAATACCATTTATAGTATTACTTAATGCATAAGCACACGATCAATCAAGAGTTGATAATTGGTGTTAATATTTACTGAATCAATATTATAAAGAATGTGAAGTGCGAAACTATTATAATATTTTTTTACCGTCAATAATAAGGCACACACACAATTTTACTGTATCGACTAATTAACACTCTTGTTATGTAAAGATTCTTTTCGAAACTAATTGGAATATTGAAAACTTCAAACAACAAAAACTTTCTTATTTTAAGTAAATTACTGTAAATTATGGTCAATTTTAATAATTTTTAAATATTAAGTCGGCCATGTATTGAACTGTTGAATTGTCATTTCAATTGTTAAATGATTTTTGCATTATTTAGTATTAAATTATTAAATTTAAAGTAATAGGAAAGGGTATTCGCTCCCATGAGTTCTATGTGGTCCCACTGCGGTCGTACTCCTGATTTCTTGAATTGTATTAACTGGTCTTAAAGTTTTCCCTTAATAAACCTCATTAGTAAATATAAAAATAAAATGGCGTTTAATTAGGCGATCGAGAAGGTGACTGTAATAATTTAAATTACTGACTATTTCTCCCTTCTCGGGTTTGAAGGTCTAGTCAGGGACATATTAGATGCAGAAACAGGAGTTAAGAGGAGTAGAGGTAAGCCTAGATAAGATTACTGTTCGCAAATAGTTAAGAATGTGGGATATTCTAGTTTTCGGAAAATGCGAAGATTAGTTCAGGATAGGAAAGAGTGGAGATGCGTGTCCAACCAGTCTTAGGACTGACGACCTTATGATGATAAATAATTGACTATTTCTTTCAATCCGTCTATGGTCACACATTTCATCTAAACGATTTTCCATTTTTTGCTTTAATATTTCCTAAACGGTGAACTTTTCGGATAGTTCATGTTACAAAACATACCTTTAAATTAACCGAGCGAGAATTTCAATGATATGCGTAATAGTTACTGCCTATTTTCAGTATAACCGAAAGTGAAACTTATTGAAAATATTTTATTATATATATATATTTTACATTGAATNTGGATCCAATGGTATCAATTTCACTTTACCATTTGCGCAACACAATCCATTGGCTTCGTTTTTGTATTTTAATGCCTTACAGTGTGAGCAAACCTTGTTCATAGAACCAATAACAACACATTGGTAGTTACTGTAGTCAATTGACACATCGTAACTGAAAGCAGCTCGATTCAAACTTGCGCGATTATTAGTTGAATGTCGCGCTCGCGCTTCACGCGTTTGTGATATCCGAATTCTTTCATGTTCATTTCCTTCGTCACGTTCTTGTGCAGTACGATTAGATCGGTAATTAGCTTGGTTTGTAGCATTTCTGGTTCTTCTACCTAAATTGCTTCGTCTTATAGGAGGCATATCAAATATAAATTATTTTTTCACTAATCACGAACTAAACAAACACTAACTAACTAAACACTCTGCACAAAACACGATATACAAATTTGTTTCGTGTATCAGTTGACAAAAGCAAACTCAGTAGATTAGGTAACAGACAACTTTCTTTTTTTTTTAAATTTGATATGACTTGAAGTCAAATCCTTTTAAGCCGTACGAAAAATAATAAAACACTGTTGGTAACGCGATTTTTGTTTGACTGATGTAATGACGTGGAAACTGATGCATTTTATCTCGCGTGCCGAAACTAATACAAAAGAAACGCGAGTTTCGGAACGCGACATTAAACTCCTCCAACTATGTATTCTGTGCTCCTACGCACACACGCACATTGTTTTGATAGATATGATCTTTGACGTTAGGAACACACCTACATTGCTTAGACAACAGTGAGTGCTTGTAATTTAATATGAACTTTATGCCATAGCAATAAAGCTCAAATTGACTACGTTTTAGTTACAAATCATTTGTATGGGAAAAAGAAAAGGGCTATTTTTAGGGTTTTTCCAGCAATAATTCTAATTTTTCTCGCTGTAAAAACCATCCTTGAACTTCAACGAACATTTTAAAAAAAGATTTGGCCAAATTGGTCCAGGCGTTGTTGAGTTATACGCTTACCAACACATTTTGCGATTCATTTTTATATTATAGATTATATTTTTTAAAGCAAATAGATATAACCATCTGCGAATAAAAAACATTAAAATCTAGTTTTCCCTTTTATCTACGTCATTTGTAATAATTATTGCTTGATTGATGATTCTATTTCAGCCTACATGGGAACATAATTCGATTGTATCAATTCAAGCGTTTAACATTTTGTTACAAAAGTAGTTGAACCCGTCCAAATTTGGACGGATGGATACCATTATACTTTAAACATAGCGATTCTCCATCCCGTAACGTCAATGAATCCCTCGGTGCATATGCTACCGGAAATATATAAAATCCGTCATTGTATACAATTCACAGGAAATCTATATAATTCCTAAAATCGTCCGAAAATGTGTGAAATAAATTATATTATATTAATTATATTCCTAGGAAATCTATACATTTCCTAAATAGCAAATGGAAATGTATTACAGATAAGTAATACTAAATAGGCAATATTACGGCAGGCTGTTTGGAGATGTACCCATATCCATTGGCGACGTCACTGTTTGATTAGGGAGATTTATGACAGAATGGAGTTTTTTTAATGACCCTGCCTGCCGGAGGCGCGCTAATAAGTTAGATGTTACAATAATGTGACGTGGTATCTTTGTTTCAGCAAACAGAATGACTTTGAGTTTTTAGTATGTTGTAGAGGTGATAATGCTGATCATTTTCATATATACACATATGTTGGACGCGGAGATCATAACGAAGCATGTTTTTCAAGACATTATTCCAACACATCAGCCCGTCTCCGGTGGGCAGGAGCATTGCAGAAACTCCAGTCAGTCATAATTCTACCTAATAACCATATCATAACGTGGCATATAATGCATATACATCTATAAATCTAACCTAACCTAACCTAACCTAGCCTAGCCTAACCAAACAATAACATCACCAATATATCAGGCGATCAGAAGAACCACGTAAACACAGATAACTCTTATTCTTAGTTTACTATCGTGTTTTATTTATTTTATTCACAGAAAACATTAGTTTTATAAATTTCCTAGTACAATATCGGAATTTCATACATTTCCCAGAATATGTGTGTATTAAAAAATCTTTGAAACAATATTTTATAAATTTCCAAAATAGCCTCGAAATTGTAGATTCCTAGGTTTCATACATTTCCGGTAAAACATACACTTATCCCTAGTGATCAGCTACAAATTAAGTATACTTGTGATTAGTATTAATTAAAGTCATTAGACCTATTACAGAAGCAATAGACCTGGCAACCCTACCTGTTAGAATAAATACATACCTAATGAATTGTCGATCACTTCATAAGATTGTCAGTCCTAAG